CGCAGGTAGCCTGCGGTTTGCAGCGCGGGAGTGCCCCTGTAGCCAAGACTGGAGCTGCTGAGGAGCAGGGACTGCTGCACAAGCCGTTGCCTTCCTTTAATGTCTCCTTTTGTCTGTGTTCTGCTTGCTCCCCCCGCTCAGGTGCCGCTCCCTCCCGACACTCGCTGTTGTTACTGTCACACCTGTACAACACACCGCCCCTCCTACCTGCCGCTGCAGTCTGTTAGTCCCGGAGCTAAGGTCTTTACCCTTCTTCCTGCCATCCCCCATTACGAACCGACCCGGGCTGCCCCAGCTGCCACCGGCCCTCCTGCGTCTCCTGCTGTGCTCCCATGTCCTGCCTGGCTGCTGTCTTCCCTCCCCGCTCGTTCCAGGGCTGTGCCAGGGGTTCAGATGAACCCCAGGGACAAACCGCTCGTGTCTGCCCCCGCTGATGCAGAGTGGCAGCTCTCAGCTAACCGCGTTGCTCTTTTTGGTGGTGGTAACCTCCCTGTAGGATCCTGATTTCGGAGGATGAGATGAAAGAGCCTTGCTTGGTCAGGAGAGTAAATTGCGTGGGCGCCCACCGGCCAGGAGCTGTCTCTCTCTCTCCCTCTGTCTCTTTGGTTTTTTTTTTTTTAATAGTGCCATCTTTATAGCGTTGCATTTTTCATGCTTGCTTGTGAGAGGAAGTGAAGCTGTCGCTAACAGTAATAGGGGCTTGCAGACCTAACGCAGGAAGCCATCTCAGGGTGCTGGGTTGAGACTGACATGACTAGACGTGTTTTAGCTGTGAGGGACTCAGATGCCTCCCCAGTGAGAGCTGCTTCCCCGCACACGTGCACATTTTTGGGATGGGCATTAGGCAGAGCAGCAGCCTCTCCGTGCTTTGAACCCCCCACTCGTCCTGTCCCAGAAACACGGGTGACCTGACATGCCCTTTCCTTGTTTTCTAGCTGGAGCCCCCTGAAGTGGACCAAGACTCCCAGTCTCATGCCAGTGTCTCCTGGGTCGTGGACCCCAAACAGGACTCCAAGCGGACCCTCAGCACTAAGTATGAGACCACTATCTTCTAAAGCAAACACACCCCGTGTCCACCTAGTCTAACCGTGCCTTTGCGATCTGATCTGTCCGCTGTTCTAAACTCCCTCTTCCTCCAGCTGCTCGCACTGAGCCCCGCGTAGGCACTACGTCAAAGGCAGCAGCACTTAGGAGACTGTAGACTTAAACGGCTTTTGTACCTGATCACTACTGAACACTGTGAATTCTCCTTACTCGGAAACAAGGGTAACACGCTGTTAGATCTCTGTGAGGTGGGAGGTGCAGAGGGATGCAGGCTGGGGGAATCGGAGATGTGGATCCAGGAAGCCGCCTGCCGTTTTCACGTCTTTCCCCTCGCTCTGGCACTGTGAATCCCTGGGGCAACGTGACACTCCCCGGGCCTTTTTTTTCTATTTCACCTTCCTTATCCTTGGACTGATGGAGACCTCTTGTCTCTGCGGTGCACGCACTCCCTCCTCCTAGATACTCTTCTTCCCGACTGAGCCACGGCTGCGTACTGTTCCAGTGAACTCACCCCTCTTCTTCCCTGCCATTCGAATCGACACTAACCACTGTGATGCTGTCTGCAAATAACACACGTTCACTAGATTTCCTCGCGGGGACCCTTGCCCACAGCCTCTCCCCTCGAAGCCTGGAGCAGAAAACCTGCTCCAGTGGGAGCGCTGGGTGTGATCGTTCCCACTGTAAGCTCTGTCCCCTCTCAGAGATGAGCTGTGGTTTCGGTTGCATGCATTTCAGTCCCTTGTAGGATTTTTTTACCCCCATAGTCCTTCTGTTTACACTCACCAAACTTCCCGTGAGCTATGGGCGTAGTTCTCACTTGGCAGATTGTAAAGAGGTTAAGCTTTTAAAGGCACATGTTGTTAGCCCCGTGCTGGGAAGGAAAGGTGTTGGAGAGGGGCTGGATGCTGCGCTGCTGGAGGTCTGATAAAGCAGACGGAGCTCTGCTGCATTCAGCAGGCTCGCTGCAGTTGTACTTTTTTTGCCAAAGGGAGAAACATGATTGAAATCAGTCTGCTGCTGATCCCAAAGCTTGTTTTCAGTCTACAAACCATTGCACGATGAGGGCTATAGGGATCTTGAAACATCTGTCACCTTCCACCTTTGAGAGCGAGGATTTCCCTTAGCGATGGCCCCGCGTCAGTGAGCACCTCTGCCTTTTCTGGCTCTTTCTCAAGTGCGCCTGTTTGTCCTCTGGGAAAACGTCCCCATTTCTCTGTATCTCAGTCGAAGCAGCTTTTAATTCCAGAATATGACTGGGAATCGTTTGCATGAGACGGCAGGGCACTTGCACAGGTGGGAGCAGAGCTGGGGCAGGTCTGGGAACGCCGTGTGGCGGTTCACAACCCTGTGGAAGCCCCTGTGAGCCAGCCATGGCCCTACCCCCGAGCCTTTCGCTTGCGTTTGCAAAGCTCAGCGAGATGAAACTGAGGGAGGATCCGATGCCTAAACGGCGTTGGGAGGCAGGACTCCTGCCCTGGTGCTGCTTCTCCCTGACTTCTCCCAAGCGACTTCGCTTCTCTTTACCTCAGTTTCCCCACGTACGGGATGGGGACGTATTTCCCCACCTCTCAGGGGTGTAAGGCTCGCTCCGTTCACAGAGCAGTTTTAAGACCTTTTAAGTGAAAGGCGCTGCGACTTCCACACCGTGGCAGCAAACCCCCGGCGCTCAGCCTCGCTCTCCTGACAGCTGAAGTATTTAACTCGCACGGGCGGCCTCGTGGCAGAGCTGCGTCTTGGACCCCAACCAGCTCCTCGCAGGCAGCAGCTGTCGTGCCCTTCCCGGGGAGAAGGCTGAGCAGATGGGGCAGCAGGAGAGCAGCTGCGGCCGTGGGGTAGTTGGGCTGCACAAGACTTGCTGATGTGCCTCTTGATGTGAGTGTCTGAACTCGCCCTGGGTTTCGCATCTTGGCAAAGTCCCCTTGCAGCCCAGTTCTGGAGCGGCGGTGGTGGCGGTGGGTCTAGGTCAGAGAGCTGTGGAGAACGGTGGATGGCAGCTACCCACTCACCTCTGCGTGACGTGTCTGGGTGCCCGTCTTGGACATAAATGGGAAAGAGGGTGTGCTTGGATCTCCAGTAAAGCTCCATTTCCAAAACAGCTTTTAGAATTTACCCCAAATCTCCCTTCACAATCACCAGCTGGCATCGGTGGGGAGAGGCCAGAAGAGCAGCCCTGGGTCATTTGCACCTGGTGTTCAGGGGCTGGAAGAGGCTTGTCTGGGTTACGCCGGGGCTTTAGGGCTGTTGCCTCAAAGTTTCTGTTTCCTCAGACTTACGGTGAAATCTGATGTTTCAAAATCTTTATTTAGCTCTTTCTCAGGAATGAGTTTGATCTCCCAAGTCATTTGTGGCTTAATGGCACCGAGCGGCAAACTGACATCAAACTAAGGGCCAGGCTGGTAAGAACCCAAGTGAGAGGACTAAAAGGATTGTCTTAAAGCAAAAAAAAAAAAAAAAGGAAAGCTCAGTCTAGTACCTGCATTTCATATGCCATGAAACCCCTTAACAGAGACAGCACTTCTCTGCCTAAAGTCCCCCAAAGCAGAGGTCGTGCTGCGGTTGTGAAGAGCTCCCGTGCCATCCTGCCAGCTGAAGCACTGTGGAATGTTGCTGTGTCCGAGGTGCTCCGAGAGGTCGGGTTTGGGTTTGATCAGCATCTTTCCAAGCCGTAAGAGTGCCCTGAGGGTTTCTATGTCCTTCAGAGTGAAACTGAATTAACGGTCGTCGTGGTAGTGCGGTTTCTATGCATAAGCATTTTTCATTTGCCCGCACCTACGCCTGACTTTAGAGGGTCTGAGCTCCCGCATCTCCCCCGGCTTTCAGCTGGGAGGAGCAGGTTCCTCAGCACCTCCTGAAACCGGGTCACTAGAGCATGTGCCTTTCCAAGGGTGACCGTCCAAACCCAGCGGGGATCACAGGCAGCCCTGCCTAAACTACAGAGCTTCCGCTGTGTGTCCGTAACCTGCACGGTTGTGTCTCGCCTCCCGGCCGTACGCCTCATCTCTCCCAGCACTTGTTTTTGTACGCCGCGGAAATCATTCATTCCATTATCTTCCTTTCTGTTTGCCTCTGAAAAGCTGATCTCCGGGCAGCTGTCTCCTACCATGGAAATGTAGTAACGGGGCAGAGACCTAAGAAGCAGTGACCTGCTGACACGAAGATCATCTCCACCTGGCACTGGTGTCTGCCTCCGAGTGGGCGCATGGCTGCTCGGTGAGGGCTCCCAGAGCAGAGGGGGGAAAGGGATCCCAGCCACCAGCTGAGAAAAGCAGCTCTCTCCATTTCTAGCAAAGGAAAGTTGAGACTTCTGAGGCCAAGAGCGATGTCACCTTTTCTAGTTTGAGACAAACATCTTTCGACCCATTTCTTTTTTAACATGCGAAATGATACAGAGAAAATCCAGTTCATGGTTTAAATGTAGCACTGCAGTTTTTTGGTGAGGAAAGAAAAAAAAAAAATCCTTATTTACCGAGAATCCACGCAGTCCGGCAAGGAGTACAATAGAAAGTCTTAGCAGTGGGAGTGGTGTGCGCATCTCTAACGGTACTTAAATTTGCTTCAATTCTGGGTGAACAGTAGAGAACGCCAAATTCTTGGAAATAACTTCCTCCAGTGTGAGAAGCCTTGCAGGGTAAGTCTGCATCCTTTGCTTTCAAAGCTACTGCACGCTTTTATAGCAAATGGAAATAACGTAAGGAAAAGAGTCTGCAAAGGATCTTTCACCCCAGAGCGGTTGTGGCCAAGTATTACCGATGGTACAAAGCTTCCTTCCCCTACAGAGAACTGTTGCATTGCAATACTTGACATTTCTATGGCAAGGACACAATTTCTTCCCATTTACGCACTGAATACCTGGGGACAGCTCCCTTCTCCAGCCTCTTGTGCACCTGTCTTGTTTTTAACTGCAGTTATGCCCTGAAGGGTTGGGTTGTTTGTTTGTTTGTTTTTTTTTTAAAAAAAAAAGTATATTCAATTGTGATTTAGCACTTTTTTGATACTAGTTCATTATTTAATTAGTGCAACAGTTTCAGAAGATGAACAAATGAGGAGTTACGTTTTGGGCATTCCACTGAAACAGTCCATACCCAAGGATAAATCCTATCAACCGGAGGATGGCTTGGCCCCCGTCTAAGTCCGGTATCCCCAGATACTACCATCTCGAAGGTGCTGTGTGCTTACTTTTTTTTTAAATGACCAGAGTATTTAACAGTAGTTTTGGCTGTGACTGATGTGTTTTCACAGTACTGTTCCTCTCAAGGGAGGGATGTTAAAATAGTTGTGATTTTAAATCTTCAGATGCAAAAATGTAACACAGCCCATTCCTTATAACCTCGACAGGCATTGTAACGGTTGGGGATGGGGTACCCTGCTGCTTTACTAGAGTGATATGCCCAAATAATTTCTGTTTTAACTCCAGTTGCTGCTGTATGTCAGGATTTCATTGAGTCTCTCTAGCCAGTAAGGCTGGGAGAGAAAACCGTAATCCCAAGGGCATAGACCTGTAGATGAGTAGGAGGGGGAAGTGAAGGTGTTTTTTTTTAAGTTGATGAATTTAGGAAACCTAACATTCCTTGTTATGCATATGTTGCAATTCATACTGGTGTAAGTGTAAATATTTGGTGTGTTGGCAACAAGTCTTTCTGGAGAGATTGCAAATTGAACCTCTGCTTGGGAGGAGGGACACCTTTCTTTTTTTGATGCATGAGCTTTTTGAAGGTTGGCTTGGAGGTGACGTGGTGATGAAGACTCCAATCTTCAGGGGACTGGGCTTGGTGACCCTGGAGGTCCTTCCCAGTCCTGCATGGAATCCTGTGGTTGTCTTTAGTGATCCAACAGTTCTTTAGCCAGATACTCTCTTTCTCACTTCATAGACAAAGCAGTTGTTTTGGCAGTGCATCTCCCCTTTTATTTCGATGGGTTTTCTCAAGGTACTTGTGTGCTGGAGGCTGATCCTGGACCATGCCAGTCACTGACTCCCAGTAATCTGTTAACCCTTACATTGCACAGTATTCTGGCTCTTCCTCCCTCCAGTTTTGTGGTATCTGGAGGAAAGTGCCCTAAATTTCTGGTGCTGAATAGGACTTCAAATCAAAACACATCTGCTGTATTACCTACCTGGGAAGAGGTGGTGCTGCCCTGGGCCTTGTTCCCCTTTGTAAGGCCCCATCGTACTTCACAGACGTTGGTTTGTGTATGGCACGAGTCCAGGCTGAGAACTCAAGATCAGTAAACTAAGATGCAGAGTTGTTGTCTTTTATATAAGAGGGGACGATTTACTTTTTTTTTCAAATTGAAGCTGCTTTATCCTTTTTTTGTATTTACAAAAAGCTAATCTTAGCTGTTTAGCTGTCTTTGAACTTGCTTTGGCATTGTTCTTTTTAAAAGAAATTCTGCAACTTTTGTGGGGTACGTGCCTGTCCCTCTCCCAGGGAGAAGATACGGCACCTTCCAGGATGTACCTCCAGTGAAAGTCTGTTCCTTCTCGAGGCTGCTGAGACACAGACCAGATGCCAAATAGTCCCTCCGAACACGTCCAGTTCTGAGTGCAGCTGAAGTGAAGTGGAGGCAGTTGCTTTATGCTCCATCTGCCCCACTTCAGAAGTTTTTAGCAGCAGACTCTCCCCCGGCTTTCTTCTGCTCGCATCATTTCCATGCAATCAGATCTTTATTTTAGAGCAAGCACGGTGGTTGCAATGCTGTCTTGTTGCAAAATGTCTCCTTTTGGGTCTCATTGGCATTACTTACTGCTTCTTTTTTTTTTTTTTTTTTTTTCCCCAAAAAAGAAAGTAACTGTGCTGCTCTTGCAAAGTCGATCTAGCTCAAACATTTTTCTTACCCATGGAAGAATAACCTGAGATTCCCTAACAGGGCAGAGAACAGTCAAGTTCAGTTTGCAATGTAGACATTTTTGCTAATTGTGATGTATGGCAGTGGGACTGATTTGTAATACAAATGTTATTTAATCTGTCTGTATTTTGATACTTGAATTTCCTTTTATTTCCTGTATATACAATTGTTAATCTGTTCAAATTTGTCTGAATTTTAAACATCTTGTGGTACCAAACATAATCAATCTGTGCAACAACATAGACTGACCTCACTACAACAAGGCGAGATTGTAAATATTCCTGGGCTTCCAGCAGTCGTTTTGTTGTTTTCATAATTGTACAACTTAGAACAGACTGAATTAATAAACAACCTTAGACACGCATTTGCCCCGTTGTCGCTGTGACCTCAGTGTTACACCGGAGTCTCCTGGTGATCTGTGTTAAAGCAACACTGTCCTCGTCCTCACCCAACAGACCCGACCTGCGAAGGGAAGAGAGAAGGGGTGAGGGCGAGCGGCTTCGGGGTGTTTAGTTAGCTCAGTCTGGCACCGTGCCCACACTTCTCTGCCTTCTAAAGCCAAGGAACAAGGAGACGGCAGAGCGCTGGGCAGAGGTGACGCGCTGCGGCCGTGGGAGCAGAGCAGGGGACGCCGATAAGCCGGGAGCAGTCCCACTGTCGTCCTTCGGCAGCGGAACGCGGGCGTGTGGCGTGCAGGAGGGAGAGCGCCGGCTGCCGAGGAGTCGCTGTGGTTGCAGCTGCTCTTTTTGCAGTTAGTCATAATGATCCCAAATACTGAACACTAAATTCTTCTTAGACAAACTAATTTATGTGTAAAAACACCTCCATGGGTCCCGTTTAAGACAGGCCTACCTATGGCACAACGGTCTCCAAACGTTTTATGTGTTTTCCACATGGTGGTGAGAAAAACTCATTTTTACCCCCACAGGAATCCATCCCTGTGTCTGGGAGAAACACCTTGACAATTCCTGAGCAGTACACTCCCAACACCTGCCTGTTGTGGTAGATCATGCTGCCAAACCTGCACCCAACTTCTAGCAGCTCTTCCTGAATGGGGTCGAGGTCCTTTGGGAAACCAGTTTAAGAATTCTGTCCATCAGGAGAAATGAATCTGCAAGAGCTGTTCCACTGCCAGGACCCAAATTTTCTTGCAATAAAACACTAAAAATTGCTTTTCTGCAGCACAGCAGCAACTGATTCGTGTAACAACTGTAGCAGTTTGGGCAGCCATTGTATATAGTATTTACCCAGCAAAGATTTTTGGCTTGCCAAGAAGTAGGACATTTTCATTATGTAAAATTAGAGCAAGAAATCCAGACACTTAAATACAGGTTAAAGTTCAGATTTTCATGTCAAGTAAAATCTGACTGATGTAAAATACTAAATACACCAGGGATTTCTAAATTTATACCATATGTTCCATTTCTAATAATTCAGTAAGTCAGGTTTTCAAGCTAACACTGAAATATATTGAGCAGTTTTAATGATTTTAAATACCATGTGGCTTTATCGAATGTAAACAGCGTCCCTGGGCTGTGGCTAACATTTCAGCAAAGTAGGTTACAGCCCCATGGCAGAATTAACACCTTGAATTAAAAAAAGCTTAAGCTGCACTGCAGTTTTATGAGCTCCATATCCCCTTGCCTTCCCCACCAAATAGTGGCAGTTTTTTGGGGAAAAAAAAGCCACTGCCTTTTGTAGTTGAGAGGTTTATTCAGATACTGACAGACAAAGAGTCACTTCCCAGTAGCAATGCTGGCGCCAGTGGATTTGTCTGATTTTCACGAGCTGAGGCGTGATTTGAATTAACTGTTGGAGAATGTGCTCTACCCCTGCCCAGTCTGTGGTGATGATCAGAAAGAATCCATCCCTGTGTCTGGGAGAAACACCTTGACAATTCCTGAGCAGTACACTCCAAACACCTGCCTGTTGTGGTGGATCATGCTTCCAAACCTGCACCCAACTTCCAGCAGCTCTTCCTGAATGGGGTCGAGGTCCTTTGGGAAACCAGTTTAAGAATTGTGTCCATCAGGAGAAATGAAGGCCAAGGAAGGAATGAATCTGCTGCTCTGCAGGAGCAAAAGTATGAAAACAAACAAAAAAGCTACAATCAACCTTTGTACAGAAATCTGATTTTGAGACAAAGGCTTCCTCAGGCAGTCAAGAGCAGATCTGAGGACAGCCACTTTGTGGCAGGATGTTGTGGACAAGTAACGCTCTGGATGGGTTCAGGGACACAGTGGATTAACGGATTCCTCTTCCAAATACTAAGCAGAATGAAACAGCATCCAGCACCGAGGTGAAACTGTGACGCAAAGAGAGCACTCGAGCGTCGGGCGTATGTGCCTGGATTTCACTTTGTCCTGGGTAGCTGGTTCTAACGATGGCTGTCGCTGGGCTACTGGGTGGAAGGACTTGAGAACGGTCAAATCCATCAAACCTGATGCTAAAGTGGAGCAGGTCAACAGTAAAGATTCTTCACCCACTCTGAGAGTTTTTGTACTGCACTGAAGTGTCAAGCATCTTAGAAGCATAATGGAATACAGAACTTCAGAGCCCGGGATTTATCTTTCCTGCCACAGCAGCATTTTGAAATTGAAAGCATTCAAAGCCTCTCTGAGGAACACAGAGCTGAGATTCAACTATCTGGCTGCTTCGGATGTTCTTGCACCTGAAGTGAGTACATGGAAAATGCTGATAGTGGCCAAGAGTGCAGGCAAGACACGGGTTTGATTTTTAGACACAGAGGGGCAAAGGTTGTCTAGTTCTGCAGCTTTAAATGCCACACCATCAGTGAGTCATTACCATCTGTCCAGCCTGTAGTTTATCGAGGTTTGGTTTAGGCTATTAATTCAGCTTTCTGAATTACATCAAAACAAAATACCCTGCTCTGACATGGAAAGAATAAACCCAAATAAACAGTGTGGTGGAGTCCACCGGGGCTGGGAAAGATACTTAACTAGATGAAGCAGTGGGCAGGAAGAGCCTCACCTTATTTTCATAGCTGATAAAAGCTAGTCTTCCATGTGGAAATAATCTCTCCTGCAGCATACTAGCTGCCTGTGGCACTGCAACCTGATGCGGAGTTAGCGTTCAGAGTACTAATAAAAGGTCAAAATAACCAGCTCTTATCCAAACCATTTGAATAAATATTTTGATGGAGCAGCATTATAGGGCTGCTGGTTAGCTGAATACCAAGCAGTGCACTCTCCAGGGATAAATATTATTTAAAGGTCTTAGCATGGTGCTTTACTACAGCCAGTGATTAAGCTCTTGCTCTACATCCTGGCCTGAAGATTGCAACACTACCTAGGAACAGACCTTGCTCTTGGGCCTGTTTATCTTTTAGCAAGGATGGGAGGATTCAAGAGATTCTTCAAAGCAATTACTGTTTGGGAGCCTTTCAGGGTGGAAAAGGAAAATCAAAGCAGTTTCTAAACCTAAACCTAGCTTCCCTGACCCTCCTCTCCTGTGTACCGTGGAAGGGCCAGACACTGAACTTGGCTCCCACCCTTGAGCAGCAGTTCTGCTCAATGCAGGGAGTTTTCTTTGCTAATACCGATCCTAGAGCTGTCCTGCATGCTCCAGAGTCATTAGCCTAATCCTAAATTGTGGCTGACAAGTGCAACGTGGCTTCAAGGACGAGTTAGACATAAGCTCGGTCTCACTAATAACATGCCAGACTGCGTTGCCCTTGACCACGATGCTTTTTATCTGGCCTTCCAGGGAAGCACATTTTGTCAGCAGTAAAAGTAGGATAACCCAGCTGTGAGAGTCCTGCTGACTTCCTGGAGCACTTGGTCGCTGTCTGCTAAAGCTTCTTCATACCTAAATCATACAAAGGTACACGCACTCCGGCCAAGACTCACACTGGTTGGGGAAGGGGCCTTGCAGGCACAAGGAGGGAAGTCTCTCCACGTGCCTGTGGTGCATCATCCCAGCCAGCCAAAGCTCTGTGAACTAAGCTTCCTTTCCTGGCTCTCCAGCAAGCAAGACGCTGGCCTATGGCTGACTCATGAAATAGTGATCAGCACTACTAATTTTCCCCTCTAATTGAGAAGGGACTATTGCTTTAGAGAGTAAACTCCCAGGTAAAAATGCTGGCTGGCTTCCCCTGCTCCTTGCAGTAGAACTGGCTGCTATTTGGATCTCTGATCCTCTTCCATTCCTGGGGGAAAATTCCTGCTGCTTATCCCACCATCAGTGCCTGCATACTCACTCTTCTTCTGGAAAACTCACAGTAACCCACCTGGTACAAGACAGCCCTTCCACGAGGACCTTTATTACCCATTTCAGCCTAGCAGCAAACCCAGGTGAGCCACATAAGGTGCTTCCCACATGCCCTGGTCACCAGCAGGGCTGCAGCTGCGATGCTAACCTGGTTCACCTGCACTTGTACTTCCCCCAGTCAGGCCTGATCAGTGTCTGGGAACAGAAACCAAATCAGACTGTGGGTGTAGAAACAGCAGCTGTGATAACTCAGCAGATCTCAAGCCATGGAGCAGGGCTGTAACATCCCTGTGAGGCTGAGTGGAAGGCAGCTGCCTGGCAGTAGGGAGGTTTTGTTTTGTGAAAAATCCAATTTGCTTCACATAGGGAAAAACCACATGCAATGAGTCATGGTGTAGCAGGGACAGAGTCTAGCCAGTTCTTTCTATCGAAGATGCACAATCAGTGCACTTGCTCATTTCACCTGTCTTTATGAAAGAGCCGCACTGGTGTCCAAGCACTCCTCCTACCTCAGGGTACTCCTTTTGCCCAGGCTCCCAGCAGAGCAGATTCCTGTATCCTCAATTCAGCAGACCTGAGACTCAGCACAGTTGTGCTACTGCTGGCTGCCCCTGGCGCAGACGGGGCCGGCGAGGCGCTGACTGCTGCACAGAGGACGTGGACACTTCTGCTGCTGGTTTGCCCAGCCACTCTCTCGTGCAATCCGGGCTGCAAACGGATGCCTGCAAGAACAGACAGGTCAGTAAGAAGTGGGTATGCGATGCTGCAGGCCGAAGGGGACGTGAGTTTGGAAGGAGACAGCATCGTGCTGGCTCTTGGAATGGTGGGGAATGGCTTACAGCATCACTGACATACAGCGTTAACATCCTGTGGCCAGGGCCCAGGGTTAGACCACTGAGAGTGGTGTCCAGAGATTATATGGGACAGAGGATTTCAGTCCAAGCAGCACATTTAACAGAGTCTGATGAAGGAGAGAAAGCAGCCTAGCAAAAAAAGAGATGTCTACATCAAATGCAGGTTTTCCTTTTTAAACATCTCTCCTAACAACATTTGCTCATGCCTCTGAGGATCTCAAAACACTTGAAACTTGTGAGAACTTACAGCTCCTCATGAGAAAGTTATTAGCTCTGTCTTAGGCATGCAAAAACTGAAGCACACTAGTAACTTCTTTTCTGCAAGGTATGTTAGTGAAGAGCCTTGAGGAAAGGACTCGGGAGTCCTCCAGCTTTTAGAGACATTTCCCTCGTCTGTTACTGAGCACATGATAAAAGCACCGGCTTTGGAATGTTCAGCTTCCCTTTTAGTGCTTTAATAGGTCCTGTAGAAATGGCAGTTCTCCTCTCCCTTCCCCACTGACTTACTAGGCAGCTTATCCAAGAGTTCCTGGAATTTCTTCCGTTCATACTGGACGGTGTGGTCTTGCAAGTGGGTGCAGAGGCGCTGGATGGTAAAATTCAACATATCCATTTTCATCAGGCCCAACACTCAGAAAGTCTCCCTGGGATGAGACAGTGAATTGAAGGTTTAAATACTGCAGTAAATGCTGTAATTAGGGCCATTTTAGAATGCTGAGAAGGGGGAATTCAGGTCCTCTGACTTGATTCCATTTTCTCACAAAGGTTGATTCCATCTAATTGGAGTGGTCTCTAAAAATTACGAGGTGAACCAGATTTACTTCATTAAAGCCTCTTCCACTGTCTAAATTGCAGCTGGGCAACAGGAATATGTCTACACTGAAAAAAATAAGGAAATTGTAGAATGCATTAAAGGGTTCTCAGGCTGTAATTCCAAGGCAGTTTCCTCTTAACCCAGTGTTTTATTGTTGAAGGTTTATGCCTGTCTGTGTAGACCAGGGCAGAGTCAGCGTCACCCACCCGAGAAGTTGAGCTGCATGTGAGCCTTTGCGACCCTCGTCCTTCCTCATCTCGAACAGGCACACACAACCTTGCCGTTGTGCCAAAGATGCACGTGGTGAGACTGTGGAAATCCAGAGCCCCTTGCTCAGCCTCCTGTCTAATCAGCTCCATGTCCAAGGCCTCTTCGATCTGGCTTTGCAGTTGGTTGTGCCATGGCAGCAGCAGTGATAGCAGGCCTCGCCCAAAGAAGCGGCCGTCTCTTTTTGTTCCAGAAACTCAGCAGTTCTCCACACTTGCTCAACAGGAATCAAGGCTGGCCTTGTGTTGAGACTAAGCTAACTACTCGGTACACAAATTCTGGGGCACACGAACGCTTTAAGGGAATGTTCAACTCTAATGACTCACTTCAGGATGTCTGGCTACTGTTTCAAATCTTGCAAAACCTCCTTTACTGCCATGCATGAAAGAAGGGAGCTATCTGTCTGGAGTCTAATGGGAAAGCACAGACTGAAAAAGCAAACTATATGCAGCTTCATGCCCTGCTGAGAACATGTCTTTTAGTGCTAAACCATGTTCTTATTCATTACGTATTGTACACTTAAATAGTAGATACAGCTCCTCGTATTCCTAAAGAGATGTCTTTGTATAGAGAATTGCAGTTTTTGTTGGCAGACACTATACTGGGAATGGCCTATGGCTGTTAATATACCCAACAGTTCAAAAAAGGGCTTTCCATCACTTTGGTAGATTATGTGTTTTAAAGACCCAGGATCAGAGAATGAGTTTCCTTCTCAGACAGGTTTTAGAAGGCGCAGTTGTGTAATTTGTGTGTCTCTTTAAACTAAAGGGAGCCTATTTTCTCCTCCCTGTTATGCTTGTTCACATAGGAATATTGGATGTAAGGGGTGAGGTGATGATTCAGAGAAAACTAATTCTAAAGTAACCATCTTCTCTGGTTCAGGAACAACTCACCTCTTATGTCCTGCAGCAGCTGGATTGCCCAAGCATAGTCCAGGGGACCGGCAGTGAGCTGTTCCTCCAGGCTGTCCCAGGCAGCTTTGAGCAAGGTCTCCTTCACTCAGTTTTCCAGGCTAAGAAAGAAGAGAGGAGGGGTTTTCTATTAACATCAGACAAACACCACCTCTCAGTTTGATGGGACCATTCCTCTTGGCTTTCATTGCAGTTCACGTGTTTGGACATTTTCTTCTCCTAGTCTTTACTCCTAACTGGTAGCAATACACCTCAATTTTCTCTATCCCATGGAAATCTCTCTCAGCTTAAATTTTCTAAAGTGGAACTCCTTCCTTTCAACACTGCTCATAAATTTCAGCACTTAACCTGTCTTAACTGAGGGGGTAAAAAGAGCATAGCATTTTTCAAGGAAACTCTCCAAGCCCTCAGAGAAGATGAACAGAATGTTTTTCTAGCTAGTGCTTGTTTTTACAATGAGAGAATGTCAGTTGCTTAAACAGATCTTCAGCTAAAACACAGACACCTCAGAGGAGACCTCCACTGAGAAGTCTGCTCTGTGCATGTCAGTCACAGCTGACGCCTCTAAATCTTTCAATGTTAGTGAGTCATATCTGACACTCATCATATTTAAGAACGTCTTAGTAAAGCATGAAGCAATGAATAAATAAAACAAGCTCCAACATTTTTTTTTTTTATTTTGGGAGCTAGCTTGTTTTCTTCTTACTACTGCAGGCAAGATCCAAACCTACTTCCCTTCCACATTCTCACATTTTCTGTATTGTGACAGAGAGAAGCTGAGACTGAATATATATGTATACACATAGACACACACCTGTCTGGGGAGAAGCTGGCTGCCTGCAGTTTGAGGTCACTGTTGAGCACAGTTTGATGCACAGCAGTCAGTTTGGAAATGTCATCAGTTATTTCCTGTAGCTCGTTCACGGAGAGAACTCCTGGAGGGCTGGCTGTAGAAAAGCAGAATAAAAGGGAGTAAGAGGAGTCATGCTACTACAGTCTTGTAAAAGAGGGGTTTAAAAAAAATTACTAAGCTTTTAAGTGACTGAGTGACAAGGCGCAGGTTTGTTTACAGACCATACACCTCACTTTCCGTAGGTGTGAGGGGTCCCTCCTCCTCCTCAGCGCGGCGCGGGGGCGGCCGAAGCCCCGCGGGCGCGGGTCTCCCACGGAGCGTGGCTGACACCTAGTGACGGCCGGGAGCGGCGGCCGCGCCGCTTCAGGGCTAGAGAGCACCTCTGCTTCATCCCGAATTAAATTTAACCCCCTCTGAATATCGGCGACAGGGCTGGGGGACGAGCCCCGAGGCCCACACATACGATGGCCCCGGCAGCTCGCCTCTCCCACCGCTCTGACCCACCCACCACCCCCCCCGCCCTTTCCCCGTACCGGGTGGCGAGCCGGAGACCGGCAGATCCTCGCCGCGGGACCCGCCGTCCTCCCGCAGGGGCTGCTCGTCGCCGGGCCGGGCTCGGACATGTCGCTGCCCCCGGGGCGGCCGCTCTCCCCTCACGGAACCGCCATTAGCCCCGCGGCTCCTTCAAACGGGGCCGCGCCACCCTGGGGGGGGAGGGGGGGGGTGGGCGGGGGGCGAGCCCGCTGCCCGTTGCCTCGGGGCGGCATCCCGCGCCCACCCTTAGCGCTGCCGCACCTCGCCTGCCGCGCGGAGAGCCGCCGCCGCTCCGCGGGCCGCCGCGCAGAGCCGCGGTTTAACCGGGCGCGACCTCGTCGGCGGGACGAACACCCCCTTCCGCGCTGGCGCCGATGGACCGCCCCGCAACGGGAACGGCCGCAGGGTCCCCTGTGTGTCTGTGTGTCCCCCCTCTTTGCGAATAGAACACGCCAGGCCCCCGGCCGAGGCGGCGCGGCGAGGCTCTCCCATTGGAGCCGAGGGGGGGAAAACGAGGCGAGGCGAGCGGGAAGAGGGGCGTCGGCCTCGCTGTGGGGAGTTTCCTCAAACACCCGGGGGCTCTGGAGCCTGTGAGGGGCTGTAAGCTCAGGTACGAACCTCAGACCGGGCGGAAGGCAAGAGGGGAAAATGGCAACTCGGTTGAGAGGCTGCTGGGCTTGCAACAGCTGTTCCTCCTCACTTTATCCATCTGGTTTTGTCCATTTTTCTGTGTGGTGGGCCCAGAAAGCAGTGGCTGACTCAGGCCACCTACCCATTCGCTATAACCTCCCTTTGCCTCTGCCGGGATTGGCATTACATCTGTGGGGCAAAATACCCAGTCTGGGATAAGGCTCCTCAGGCGCCAACAATTTGCCTTTCTTCTCCCTCCCAGCACTTATTTCCCTTCTTAATTTATTTCCTAAGCATCCAATAACACCCACCAGCTGACACCTGTGCAGCCGGGGGCTGGAGCTGGGAGGTTCCAGAGCACTGCGGGGCCATGGGGCAGGGCATGAGGGTTTCGGGGTCCTGCCATCCCCCTGGCTCTGCACACACAGGGACCGGTGCACAGCCCCACATGTGCAAGGGACAGGCACAAGGGCCAGCCTTTTGGGGAGCTGGGGCCTTGATCTACCCCCTCATCAAACAGCTCTGGTGGGGCTCCAGCCTCCAAAGTCTGCAAAACACTTAAGATGTCTGGGTGTTGTGGCTGGAGAAATGCAAAGGATGAAAGGCACAGGGCTGGCACACCATGTGAGGATGGACAACCCCGTTACCACCCCTAATTAGTTACAGCTTCATGGCTGGGCTGCATGAACACCACTGCAGCTCTCTCAGGCTACAAGAGAAAGCATCCTAGGTGGGTTTAAAGGTGGTTGGAGCTGCCGCCATTGCTCTAGTTTGCAGTAAGCTCTGAGTGCAATTAATGCAGCTCAGCTGATTAGTTGTAGCTGTCATAAATGATTGCATGTGGAGGGGTAGCCATTGCCTGCAACGACATCTGTCTTGCTGTATGTCTGTAGCACAAGGCTGTGTTGAAGTGATATCCTTAAACCACCAGTCATTTCCTCAAGCCTCTGGGGAGCTGTAAAAATCATCACATCAAAAAGCGATAAGGGAAAACTGCTCGGCTTGAGCAGTGCTGCAGCTACATCAGACGGTGATGGGCTGTCCCTGTTGTCTTAGGGGTGGACACTGCTGAGAAGTTACCTGGGAAAAGCATCCACCCCAAAGCACAGACGGCTCTTTCCTCTCACTTGAAGCACCCCAGGGCCCATCCGGTGTGTGGGGTTTGCCAGGTCAGCCAGCCCCAGGGGGAATTTGCGTCCTCCCAAACAGGGCAGTTGAGTGGCACAGGCCTTAGCACTGATTTCTGTGTACTCTGCAGGCAGGTAGACACAGTTTTTGGTTGTTTTTTTGTTTTGTTTTTTTATTTAACTTTTTTCAAGCAAGAATGCATGTCTCAGCACAGCAAGCTGACCCTGGGCAGAGGCAGGGCTGTCTGCTCGCCGTGCGCCAGCTGACAATTATTGTGTGAAACTTTCCAAAAATATGACGTGTGATGCGTCAGAGAGGCAACCGGTGCTGCCCTTAGTGGCATGGAAAACTCAACATCAGAAGGTGACGGGGCTCTGCACATGCGATGCGAAGGTCACATTTGTACGTGCAGGGGCATCCACACTGTGGGTTGATCCCAAAGAGCTCCTGCACACACAAACAGGGGCATGGAGGCTTTGAGGGGGGGGTTGCTCTGCTCAAGGCCACAAGAAGGGGCAAGCAGGCAGCTTGTGGGCAGGAAAGCAACTGGCCATGAGAAATAAAACCAGTAAAGCTCATCATGGGACCAGTCTGGCCAAAATCCTGTCCAGGAATTCCCCCCAGTGTTCAGCTTTGTGCAATGCCAGACCTGGCTTCTGCCCCTTCCTGATCCTCAGTTTCACATGAGGAAGCTGTGGGTGGGGAAATATCATTTATAAAGAACAAAACAGCACAGCTTTTGAGGTGACTTCAATTTGCTCTTGTCTCTGTTTCAGAGCAGGGCCCGCCACTCCCAGCCTATAAATCCTGATCCCAGAGGAGGCAATTGTATTCACTTAAATATATATGCATTTGTCCTGCATTCATTTCCTTTCTGAAGTGACTGGTGACATGAATTGTAATAGCTGAATATATTTTTAATGCATTTCCTGCAGATTTCTGCAAGGGAATCCAGTTCCTAAGTGGCTTTAACTTGCCACAAAGGCAGAAGACCTCAGGAGCACTGGTAATAGGCAGGGTGGGTTTTTTTAATCTACTATTTTAATGAGCTCCATCCATCTCTCTGATTAGATTAATCTCATTTATTTTAGCCAAGCCATCTAGCTGAAATCCCAACAGAGGAAATTGGGATTTTGAGTCTTTCAGGGTGAGTGCTTGAGTGTCAGGCAGCAAACTCCATAGGGACATTTCCAATTTGCCCTTTTATCACCTTGGAAATTTGTAACCCTGATGATCACATTGGAAAGGAACCATCTGAGCTGCAAGCCTGTCTGCATCACCGACAACATCAGTGATGTGCTGTGGAGATCCTCTGCATCTCTCCTCTGCCTGGTTTCAAGCAACTCCCTTAAGAAAGCAAAAGCAGCCTGGGAGGGAGGGCTCAGCTTTCCAAAAAAGCTCCCATTTTCCCATCTGGAGCAGAGTGAGCTCCATGGCTGGAGCATCCTCACCAGTGAGCTTTTGCAAACCCACCAGCACAACCCCGCCAGGCACAGTGCGGCAGCAGCAGGTGGGAAGGATCCGCTTGTTCAAACAGAAATACCTTTGGCAGTAGCCACAGCCGATGGAAGGGGAAATGGGATTTTTTTTGTCTTAAAGATGGTGTTGTTTTTTTCAGGCCCGATGAATGTGAAAGTCCCCATTTAAAGGAGTCGAGCCGGCAGTGAAATTGGTCACTGTTTGCACACCCACGCGTCAACGGAGGCAGCCGAAAGCAAACTTCCTGGTGTATCCTGATCCAAATCACCTGGGAGCGAAGCTTAGCAAGCACAGTGTACCAAGCTGTGAGCAGCTGCCCAGCTGTGGAAGTCTCTCTTTGCAAAAAAGCAAACCTTGTCCCAACAGAAGAGGTGAAGCCCAGTTGGTGTTACAGCTCCCCGCTTCCAAAAAATGAAGGAATTTGGACCCTACATGCTACAGCTTTGGCTCTCAGAAATTCTCCTAGAAGAAGGGCAATCAGGATGGAGGGCAGAAACCATCAGCAGGTGCTTTGGGAGGGTGTGGAGGGGAAAGCTGGGGAAGCCAGGAATTTTTCTTTGCCCCATCAGCCAGGAAAGCTATATTTGCAGCACCAGACAAGGTCAGGATTGTTTCTGTGTTGGATGCTGATGCAAATATGTGGGCAGGTGGCTGGATCCTGAGGAGCTCGCAGCTTCCCTGCAGGTGAATGAAGTGATGTTATCTGCCTCGTCCAGGTGAGAGGGTGTCTTGGTGTCGGGTCTGCTGTAGCCCCTGATTTCACTTTGGGAGTCCTTTGGAGAGGAGGGTGGCTGCTGTGGAGATGGCTCTGATGTGGGTGTGCAAGGTGTGTACGTGCCTGTAACACACCACATGCTTCACCAATGACTGTAGCATCTATTAATTCTCTCATCCTAAGCTGGTGCGTGACCTTTTCCATGAGGCATCCCACATACATGAGCTGTCTGTTGCCACCTCAGTCATGCCACACATGTCCGAGCCGTGGGGACTGGTCACTTTGAGCAAACCATCACCCGTCCTGCCCAGCCTCCTGTGGCCAGTGCCTGATCTCGGGGCATTTCAGACCGATCCCGTCATCCACGTACTTAGGGGATGGGTTGGTGCTGGGTAAACTGAGCCTTGGAGGGGTTTGGCTCGTGGTCACGTAGGCAGCTTGGCCAGAGCCCAGGCGTCGTGGCTGGGAGATGTCCACAGGGCCAGGGAGATGCTCCTCTTGCCATCTTGACACCCCCAGACCCAGAACTGGGTCTGGGCTCCACATGCAAAGCGCTGGTTCGCTGCCGGTGCCGCTGGCTCTGGGTAATCCTTTGTATTTGCTGACTTGACTTAATTAACGCTCGGTGGAGAGCTGAGCTCTGGCGAAGCTGCGGTACAGGGAGGCCCAAACCACACACAGCGCTTGGGGAGGGATTTTGATCAAAAAAAAAAAAGTTCAAAGGTGTTTTTGGCTTAATGCAGTTTATCTAAATTGCTTTATGTTCGTTAATCTGGATTAACACAAATGCTCTTGGAACAGCTGGCTGGGGAAGGGTTTGCTCGGCTATTCTGATGAGGACAGACTTTTCCAAAAGTGAAAAGTTTGAGCTGGAAAAAAAAAAAAAAATCCACGTCCTTTCTGGCGTTGAGTACACGCAAGCCCTGTGAACAGAGCGAGGCTGCTTTTACCCCTGCTGCTCAAGTCCAGGGGGTCCCTTCAAATTTCGTCCTCGGGACTGGTGTACCCTAATGACTTCCCTGCTGCTGGCAGAGGATTAATCCCCCCCCTTCTCTCTGGGGCGATGTGAACCCCTTTTCCAGCTGGCATACCAAAGCGGTTGGCACAATTAGTTAGCAGCTTCAAGGTAAATTGGAGGTCAAGCCCAGATTTGAAGGTGGTGGTGGGCACGAGTGTGACCCAGGGAGCCATGTGATGTGGACGACGTCCTGGAGAAGCAGGTGATCTCCCCATCCTCTCCTTTCCCCAGGGCGGGGATTAGGAGAGATTTTACAGCTGAGTGGCCGGCCTCATCTTAAGATTCGGTTTGCAATGGCTCAGTCCCCCCGGCCCCTTGTCAGGAAGGAACTTTTAGGTCTTTTATATCCATTTTGCATGTCAGCATGGCAGTTCATGCCTGCTGGGAACCCGTCCCTGGGACAGATCACCCCTTTGCATCTCTAGGGACTTTCCACCTTGAGAACAGTCAGTGAAACACCCAGTGTGGAAATTGGGACTTACGGAAGAGGATCGCAAAGCCCAGTGCTTTGAAGAGGATTGTCTCGTGCTTGTGCATTCACCTGGGATCTGGATGCACTTTCTTGCCTTGCAAAAGGCTTCTTGTGCTGCCTCGGGCAGGTCCTTGCACCTTGGATGGAGCTCAGTTTCTCCCATGAGGAAAGCAACTCTTTCCATCAGCTCCCCATGATCAAGGACGCTTCAGTGCCACGGGGAGGGGGCCAGAGACCCGCCAGGGACCGGTGGATCAGCAACACGAAGGACCCAGCTCCAG